AAACCATTCATCAAACTGTACTCTTATCTAAATTATCATAGGTCCATGGATCTACAAGCCATGCAAGAGGATCACAAGCTTTACGTTTCCTCTACTATCTGTAGCTTGGTTTGGATAGACCGTCTTTTCATGATCGACATCAACCTTGTGTATTTATGACCTACTGATGATGCTTGGATCCCAGTATGCCTAATACCCATAACATGTACAAGCGAGACAAATGCCTGAACAAATTGTCAAACAATCGTAGGAATATCGTACTTTCCTTGACCAATATTCTACTGCAAACTGCTTTGAGAGTGAACCTTCCTGGGAGGTTCTCGATTAATATCCTGTGGTGTTTCATCAATGTGAAATCATGTATTCACTGGGATGGGCCTTTTGTGTAAATGAACATTTGCGCATGTCCTTTTATCATGATTTGGGCAATGGCATGTATGCGCAACGCTCTGATATGAAAGCTTCAAAAGTAACCCATGCCAACGTCCCCAGCGTTTTGTCCATACCGTCTAGTTTACTACAGTGAAAAGCGTCTCGTATTATTGAGGGTTGGAGATATCCTGGCAGTAGTGCAACACAGATTTGATGAATGATAGCATACGAAAACTGGCATGTTGCAAACTTTATAGTTGAGGACACTCATGGTCAAAGTCCATCGTCTATTCGAACAGTCCTGTAGGTTCATTTGCTTTGGAGCGTAGGCTGTCAACTTGGCTGTCACCTGCACAGAGTCACGCCAGTAGAAAGTAGGTCATGCCACGACTAGTCGGAGGGTTCAGAGTTTCTCCACAAAAAACCAAGACCTTGCACTTCGTTCCAAAGCAAAAAAGGATACGCAGTATAGAACATAAACAACTACATGTTTTTTGCAGATATCCTATCCACCTCACTCATTTGTGTGTCGCAATACAAAAAAAAAAAAAAAAGACAACAAGAATAGCACAAACAGAAAACAAGGAGCTCAACATGTACCAGAACAGCTTTTTCCTACCCAGAACAAACCCTCACAACTGCCGATATTTACATAAAAAAAAAAACGGGGTGCAACTTTCATACGCGGACGCATTTGACTTGACCATTAGGCATCGCCAAAAGTATTTTCGCTGGCATAGACAATGTAGAGGAATCCATCCTCGTCCTTGTGTTCTTGGTAGACTAAATAAAAGTCGGATGAATGTCACAAAGAAGGGCTAATCATAAGCAAGTTTATACCTTCACTGAGGAGCGAGGAGCCGGGGGGAAGCACATTGTTGACGAAAATGAAGATGGCTTTTTCGGGGCTCAGTTTAATTCTCTTGCGAATGACCTATTTGACAAAGCGTCAGCGTTTTCCTGGTTACGTTCCCATCAACGTAAACCACGTAGATACAAACATAGACAAACTGACACATTGTCAAATCGCATGGGACCAAGTACTTTTTCTTATCAATCGGCGCAATATCGCTCTTTTCGGCCTTTTCAACGATGCAGGGTATGCGATCTGGGTACTTTTGTCTGATTTTCTCTGCTTCTTGCTTTCGTTTCTCTGTTGTTTTCACACTTGTTAATTGGAAAAAGATGGCCAAGGCGTAAGAGTCTTTAGCTCACCAAACGGATGTTCGTCCTTGAATTGGGACCGAACAGGCATGGCTTTTAATAGAGTGGGAGTGTCACAAAGGGAAAACCTGTAATTGGAGAATTGTATAGAAACTTGTCGTCGTCGTCGTCGTTCGTTCGTTTGTTCCTTTCTGCTGCTGCTGCTGCTGTCGTTTGCTTTGGAAGAAAGATGAAAACTGCGATGGAAAACTCTCCCCCAAAAGCAACAAGCCCAAAGAAAGTGCGCGTGATCAACACTGCTTGCGTGATTGACGACTGAGGCGTTTGAGTCAAGACGCGTGGGAATATTTCATTCGCTTTGTAAAAAGATATTGGAAATTGTCATCATTTCACGACGATTTTCTTTTGATGAAGCGAGTGTGAAAGGGCTTTATTTTACGATATGGTATGTTCTTGGCTTTTTGTGACTGTTTGAATAATGCGTTCTGGTTTGTTGATGATGATTATGCGTCTTTTTGTTATAGCCATGTATACTCAAAGTCCGCATTGTTGCGGCGAGGAATCTCCCCGTCATGGACAGGGCAACCGAGCTGACAGGTACCAACATGGGTTTCTTTGAATCCTCATGAACCTTGTTAACGCACCGTATAGATGCATTTGTCGAGGTCAAGTTTGCAGATTACGAAGAATACCGGACGCAAATTTACCGACGAAGTCTTAATCCCATCTGGAACGAGGATTTCCGTTTTGTACGTGCAACTCTTTTTCCTCAGTCTCTCTCTGTGTTTTCAAAACACGATCCATTCTTTCGTCTTTTACTAACATCCATCGTCAGGAAGTCAGCAACGACGCAGACCTTCAAAACGAACCCCTAGAACTCAAAGTCATGGACTATGATCAAATCACATACAATGATTCGATTGGAACAGTTTTTATTGATTTGAATCCGCTTTTGACGTGGGATTCTATGGCGCAGATTTCAGGCTGGATACCCATGTGAGTTTTGCGTTCTGGGAAATGGATTCCTATCCAAAATGCATATCTTTGAAAGCCGCTTGACGATCATTTTTGGGCAGATTTGATACTCTGCGGGGAGCGAGGGGTGAATTGAATGTCCAGGTTCGCTTGCAATTCTTTGGAGATGTGAACCCTTTTAAAGGTAAAAGTCCGCCAGTGTACTGGCGTACTCGTACAAGAACTGACATGCGTCCTTGCGATTAGATAGTTCGGCGGGTGTGCAATTCTATACCATGACATCTCTACCACCCAATGTCAACGTGGTGGCTGTTCTCGGATTCGTTTCCGCGCTAGACAATGAAGATGATCCGGAATATGTAAGGCAACCATCTTACGCCTCTAGAATGTCCAGAAACTGACACACATTTTGCAGCACTGGAGCGATAATTTCCGTACTCCCCGTACATCAAACGAGTCGCGCACACGCGTCATGTACCGCCTCAGCGGACAATTACGTCGACAGCTTGGCAAAAAAGTGCTCGAACTCAACGGTAATGCCGTCGTTGGGTTTAAACAGTGTTTTGATATAGAGAGCGAGGAGAGAGCCATTACCGCTCGAGCGATTGGAACCGCTGTTCGCCTCTCCGTGCCAGATCAAGTATCTCTCGACCGAGGACAGTCATGGTCATCCATGCAAACTCCAGGTGCCTCCCCTTTGAATACCCCCTTTTCTGAACACCTTCCGTCCGTCTCCCCCCTCGCATCTGGAATGGCCACAACAGCCAAAGCGACACTGACACCTGAAGAGCTCTCTGAGAACGGATCCTCGTTTCTCGAAGAACAACCCTCTGCTCTCCTTGTCGCCTCGGCAGCAACGGGATACAAATCCGCCGAACACATGACACTTACCCTCCATAATTTTCCCACTGGCGCCATCCTGGGCATTGGTGGCCTCATATCCGCCACATCCGTCAAAGTGATTGAAAACGACTCCAAGGACATACGCGAGGCCTGGTGGACAGAGCTTCGCGATGAAATAAAATCCCATGCGCGGGCGCTGGGGTGTCCTTTTGTCATTGGGTACAGCGAAAACACGTCCATCAGTGATGAATTGGCTGTATTGCATTGTAGTGGTACTGCAGCTATATTGGATCTGTCGGTTATGAATTCCTTTTCCGGTACTGCTCATTCTTCAAGGATGAATTCGGTAACTGGATGGGAGCCAAGAGGGGATGAGGCAGTGGGATCGGTTACGCAAAGTGCACCTGTCCATAGGACGTCCATTAGTGGGAGCGAATATCGTGAGAGCTTTTTAGAAGCTTTTGCGAGACGGAAGCGGAAGCGCAAACGTGCCAAAGGTCGGTTTTTTGGAACTTTCCGATTGATTGTGCAACACCTGACGGGTACTCTTAGGCTGTCAAGCCTGTCATATAACCTACAGACGCGAAGAATCACCCTTTCCCATGTCGTATGCGAAATGTGGTGTATGTAAAAAGAAACATGTTCCAGAAGTCTTGTTGACGACAATTGAACCGCCTTCTGAATTGGATACGGTTGGGAACGGAATTTTGTTGGAAGCGCATGGTGCGTGCTATATGCGTGCTGCATCGTTTTTGGACGTTATTGTGACTCTTGATATCTAGTCTGCCGGTACCGCAAAACCCACGGAGACTCCCGTCCTTCTGTCGTTAGTGAATCCATTCCGTTCGCGCAGTACGACATTCACCGACAATTAATGTACAAACTCCGGATATATGGCCTCAACGCTGTCTTTGGATTGAAAATCCAGTATAGTGTGGGCGAGTCGCTCATGACGGCCGTTGCGACGGGTACGGCGGTCTTTGTTCGCGCCTTGCCACCCCCGCCTGCCATGAAAGTCTTTCGAAATTTGGACGTTGTAGACGAAGAGGACAAAAAACTTTTGGAGATTCAACGAAAAATCATGTTGCGAAGCGAAAGCAATCGCAAGATGATTGAACAGGCTTTATCGCAGTTGGATTTGAATGATGATTGTGGTGCACAACAAGCTGGCGAGTCGGACCAAGTTGCAAAAAGCGAGACGGATTCCGGAAGCGAGTCGGACAGCGATTCAGAGGATGAGCAGGAATTTCGACGACATCGTAGCGTCGTGGTTCAAATCGACGATGAACAAGATGAAGATTTGGTGTTGATGCAGGACCCGAGTTTCCCAGACGATTTCCAAATGTGTAATACCGGCGTGGCACCTAAGTCCGATACCCTCTTTCAACCTCACAACCTCTACCACATTCAAATGGTGTCCATTGTCAAACACGCTGCCATTAGTGTGGTGTCTCACCACCCTAATCGTCAACTAGCTGATATTTTCAAAAACCTTTACCAGGAACTGGTCTTCCAATTGGCCTATTTCAAACCTTGCATTGTCGGAGGTTTAAATTACGATGTCCAGCTCATCAAGGACAATGAGATCCAGATTGCGCTGACAGGGATTGCGCTTGGGCAGATTGTTCAGCAAGGTGACCCCGTCGATGTCCAGGCATCGAACGAGAGCTTTGCATTGGGTGATTCGCTTAAAAAAGTCCCTGGACCTGCTCGGGCGCCGACCAAGGTCTCTCTCGTCTCTCAGTCCTCGACGCATTCCCTCGAGGACGGTATGGTGTTTTCTCTTGAAGACGACCAGGAGACCGATACGGATCCGAACCGCCCCTCTTCCCACACATCACACAGCACACCCCCCTCCGTGAATGACCCTCCCACCCGTCCAAGCACACCTACCGCCCTCCACCTCTCGCTTACCCTTACCGACAACCCTTTTATTGACATTACACCCCTATGGTACATTCCCAACACCCGCCTCACTCGCTTTCTAGGCCGCATCTCCCTCCATTTCGTAAAAGAAGCCGCCATGGTCTTTGAACTCGGGACGGGCAATACAGGCATGGGAGGCTTCACACACACCTTCCTAGTGGAAATGTACGCCATTTGCCGGGCCCATGCGTTTGCACTTGGTGGTAACGCTCTTGTTGCATTTCGTATGGATCAGATTGTTTTTGAGGAGAGTTTAAAGAATCAGGCTTATGCTCTTGTTTCTGTTGGGGGGGATGTGGTTGAGGTTGAGAGTTGGCGGGGACGGGTTGGAGGTTTGGTGTCGGTTTTGGGATAGATGTTGGGTTTTCGTTTGGTTTATATTTTTTATAAAGGATATCTTCCTTTTATGTTTGCGAAATATATCTTATTGGCAAGAAAAAAAAAAAAAGTGTCGTAAACTCAAGGTTTTTTGATGCATTGTCAAGAAGACTGACGCGTCCAACGTAATCGTTCCGCTCTCGTTTTCAAGATTGTTCAGCTGCACTTGTATAAGAAACAAGAGCGACCATGCTCCACACACCCACCACCCAATCCCATCCCAACTCTCTAAACCTCACTGTAAGAAAGTCCAAATCACTCTACTTTTGCACCTACCCCTCACGCACACACACACACATTATTTAAAATAGATCCCCCATCTAACTCACCTCTTTACATCCCAACCCACCCTCCCACCCCACCTCAAACCCCACATCCCCCAAATCCTCCAAACCCTACTCACGCACCTCGACTCTCCACCCCACATCTCCCTCCTCACCCCATTATTCATTCTACACCCTCCAACGAAATCCATGGCGTTGCGAAAAGGGGTCCTAGATGCCCTTGTGAATTGTATTGAGAACAAGTGTGGGATGGAGGCCCTTGAGGCTTTGCAGGCTTTTTTGGTGGATTATTGTGAGGGGTGTGAGGTATGTTGTAGTTTTTTGAAAAAGATATGGGATGATGATGAATGTTGATTGGTGACCTTTTTTTGGTTGTTAAGGTATTTGAACAGGGAGCTTTAGAAAAAGTATGTCACATCTTGGTGGATTCGAGAACGGAGGAAAGGTTACGGTAAGTTTTCTACCTTTGTGTAAAATGCATTGTCGGGTTTTATTTGCTTCAATTGCGATAAATCTCCAGACATAAATGCATTGAACTGTTGACAGTTTATCTCGCACCCACTCCACCAAAAACAACTCTAGAGAAACAGCATACGCTTGAAGCTTTCTTGGGTCCGCGTTTCGTAAAGAGGTTGGTTAAAGGGTTGGAAAGTCTCTTGTAAAGTTATTATGCAAATTGCGAAAAAACAACACACTTGCCATAAAATCTATTCTCCCCAATTGCACAATAGCATCTCTCAAAAAATAAAGAACATAAATACAAAAAAAATTATATATTTTCACCCTACAATTCCTCTCAACCGTTCCTTTTCCGCTTCGTTCAGAAACCGGTCGCAGAGTTGCAAAAATCCGTGCGTGTTTTCTCTTGCAGAGGTTTGAAAGAATTCGGCTAGGTACGCCTGTTGAATGTTTTTGTGTGTTATTGCAAGAGTATTTGTAAAATGGTATAAAAAAGAATCAGAAACGACACCTTTAAATCCATTTGATAAATGGGATTACTCCAAAGCTCTTCATCGGCTCCCTCATAGTCGGTTGCATCCACGTCAACGACTCCGCCCTTACTGAGCAAATCTGAATACATTGAATTTGTTAGGTGCTTGAAAAAGGATATAGACATGCACGACAGCCTCACCAGCCAAAAAGTCGTCACTCTGGATGGGATCCACATCCTCCCAATCCTAGATACATCATTAAGAGAAAAAAAACTAAATGTATCAAACAGCAAAAACCTACTTCGTCAGAATCCACACCCTCAGTGGTCTCCTCCTCATCGTCCGGAATTCCCCGTCGGGATACCCTTCCCATCTGACTCTCAGTCTGATGCTGTAGCTCAACAAGCAAGAGCTTGATAGCTTTAGCTGGAAACGGGATGACACTATATTGCGCTGGACCTGTTTACACCGTACAGACAGTTAACAATCTGTGTCAATGACTCCATGCTGATAAAAATAACTGTTCTCACGTTGTCTTGTCATGGAACGCGTAATGATCTCTACACATCAAAAAGAGGTCAAAAGAATCAGTATCGTGATCCTCCAACTCTATCAAATCTCCCCACATACTGTTTGACACCACAATCTCGTCACCCTTGACCTGCAAAGCCTGTAGCCGCGTATCACCACTCAGTAGTAGCTTACTCATTGCCAAAGCACTGAAAAGGAACGACATCAATTACTACGTATGCATGGGGCAAACTACGAGACCAATGATGGTGCAGCACCCACCTGACTTTAATACTATAAAATCCCTGGAAATCACCAAAATGTTCACACCACAGCTCAATGATCAGCTCTAGGCCGTTTTTACCATTAAGGTCGAGTTGGCTGAGAAAGTCGATCACGGTTTCCGGGTGGTTCAGGATGAGATGGGCGAAGACCATCACCAGTTGCTGCACAATGGTAGGCATTCAGGCTGAGTTGGACGTGCCTACACCTACCTGACAATGAGTAGTTCGTACCTGTATAAAGGATGACGTCTTGGCTGCCTGTAAGCGCCGTGCAACAGCCGTCAAAAGCTCGGGCAATACCGGCGTGAGCTCATTTCCGCCCTACCATAACTGTTTGATCAGCTAAAAAGTTTCCACACAGAAACCTCAACCATCCAAAGCCCACCTTTTGAATCAATCTTGTGACCAAATCCCCAACAAATATAGACGCCGATTCCGACTGCGAGGGATGCAACAGTTTGGCAATAAACTGAATCACGTAATCCAGCCCGGTTTTCTGCCCATCTGTCCACCTCGCGATGCCAGCCACGTCCCTTTGCACGAGTTCTTTCACTGTGTCCTGGCCATTTTGTAGAATGCTATGATCGTCCACGACCAATAACATTCGGATCAAGTCGGGGAACACTTGGTTCGTGTAGACAGGTGGGAAGGGTTCTGGTATGTGCTTGATCAGCGCCGTCATTAAGGTTAAAGCAGTCTATGTATCGGAATACGCTGATTAACAGATATCGGCCGGCGGATTGCAACGATAAAACTTACAGCAACCGCCCAAGGCATCTTTTCCACATTTTCTAACCGCAGGACATCGCGAACAGCTGGGACCATATGCTCTTGAAACGGCACCGCCATGGATTTGTTTGCTGCCAGCACATTAAAAAGATCCACGATAATCTCCGTCAAAAGGAAGTCTGTAAAGTTGAGAGCAGTTTAATCTGGTAAAGTTCAGGTATGTCATGGTTGCGATGCACGGCCTACCCTCGGCACCCCGGACCCACACATTCAGCACAAGCCTCGAAATCATGCTCTCGTACCGGGCAGTAACTTCTTCATTCACCTTTTTAAAAAAGCCAAACATCAATCACCATCCATTGCGGCTGATTCAACCGATGAAAGCACACCTTGGCTACTGTTCCCAAAGTCTCGAGCAACAATGCCAGGGCTTCCTCAGAAGCAGACTCTGACAACTGCAGAATCCCTTCAATGATTGGGGCCTGGAACGGTACCAACTGTGTTGCGTCCACCTGGAAACAAAATCTGTAGGGTATGAGTGTGGATAACAGCAAGACGTTTGCATCGGCCATTCTCACCCCCGCAGAGCTTTGAGCGCAGATACCTTCACCGCTGCACTGGTGATATTGGGACCCAAAGCTTCCACCGCGGCTCCCATGTACTGGGACACCAAATGGGATGGTAGGACCTCAGCAAATTGGCTGGAAAACCACAATGCACGTCCCTGCAAAAAGGGATGTTCTATGCCATCAAAGCGCAATGTCAGTTGCATGTATGTGGTTCCATTTGAACAATAGAGAGCTCCTTACCAATGCATTTCATGTCGCTCAAAACCACATGATTGAATAAGCCTTCCAGATCAAACGTCAGACGCTGACTCCGTATGTGATCGATCAATTCTCCGTTCAGACGTCCAAGTGCCAATAGGCATGCTTCGTGGACTTTCCACCACGCTTTATTTCCATTCTCGCGTGTCTTTGTCGATTCCTGAAACTGGCTCTGCACCGCTTGAGAAAGCGCTTGAAGTGTCTCAATTGGAAACGATTCTACCAGAGCCTGTTCAAGAGAAATGTAGACATTGAATGTCCAAACTTTGACGGACGGACGCATCCCTGATGTATACCAGTATTAATTCCTCCACGGCAATCCGAACATTGTAGCTCATAGCCTCTTCCTCATCATCCTGAATGAACTGGTTCATATCATTCGTCCAAGTCTCTTCCTATAAACTTTGGTATTAGATGGGCCCCATCACAGCAGCGCGTCTTTTCGAATTACCATTTCAGCTGTGATCTGCAAATACGTCAGAACCACTCCAATTAAATGTCTCAAGAAATCCCCCGCCTGCTTCGGCCCTTGTGTCCCAGATATCGGTACGGTAAACATGTGCCTTAAACCCTTCTTCCTTGCCACCAACTGCACATATTCTAGCAGCGAATAAAGCAATGATTCAAATCCGAGAACCTCCCCATCCGAATCAACATCGACTGTTTCATGGAGCTCATCGGCGGGAGTAACTCGTTCGTCTCTGTACTGTGTTTGTAGTGCTACGAGATGATTCCAGACGGGTTCAAGGAATTGAAGGGTATACTGAGACATTGGTTTGGGGAACTGTTTGACAAGCTTACAGAGGGTCTATACGGCATGAAAACGGATGATAAGCATTGTCGCAGAGGTAAACGGGACGCATTCCGCACGTACCCGTAACACCTCATGTTTTACAGGGAGTGATTCTGGCGTGGTGTTTATATTTGCCAGAGTCTTTTTGAAAGACTCCATCCATGTCGGTAATAGAGGTTCGACATAGTTTCGGATGACTTCAGGATGCTCGTCGGACACCATGTATGCGATATCCGCAAAGTCCCTGAACATTCCGAGTGCCCTTGCACGATCTCGAGGGCTGTATGACTGGTTTCGTCATGTGAATAAATGCCATTTCTGCTGCTCAGAGCTATGTAGATGAACCTACATCCTCGGTGCCAAATATCCGATGTAATTCGGGAAGTAACGCCGGCGCAAAGTACGGAAAATGCTGATCTGTCAAGTCATCCCTCACGAATTCAGCCAACACCCGCATGGCGCCATGAACGTGGTCTGCATTTCCGCCTCGAATATCCGCAAGAAGAGAGTCAAATAGATCCGGCCACGACTCTGGCCAGTCGAAATGCGCGATGCGGGAGACGACATACGCCTGTGAATAAAGATAACCCAAAGGATCAGAACCCCTTGATATAGCATTATGCAAGCATGGATGAGCACATACAATCAAAACTCGTATCCGCTTATTCGAGTCTTTTATTCCTGGTAATATCATTGACTTGACAGCTGCCTTGACCTACGCGCAAATGCATACGTTCCAGGGTCAGCGTGCTCATGAGCCGACAATGTTGAATGTGCGATCAGCAGTATAGCAACCTCTGTTGGGGGCTCAGGTCCAACAAACTTATCGTCCGCTTTTCGTGACCAATGGGTATCCACATAGTTTTTCAACGAGACAGCGGCCAACTGGCGTTCGGAAGGAGGGAAATTCGGTCCCACCGCAATTTGCGTGAGATACTGGGCATAATCTAAAGCAATAACGAGAGAGAGAGAAGACTGAATGGCTGTACCCCATTTGATATCCAACTTTCACAATTGGTGATGATCTTGACGTGTGGACATACCAGGCTGTAATCGTTGCAATTCCTTTGCGCGCAACTCGGCGGCCATGCGAGTATTTGGGTCGTGAGAGAGGCATGCTGAAAGGTTTTGTAGGACAGTTTGGTCCATTTTCAGAGTGCCTACCATCCCCGCCCCCAATGGGATAATTGTGGTGAATCACTGCAAGATGACTTGCGAGCTCGTATCGTTTGCTCGTGGCACGTGTCTACATCTTTTGAACTTTCAGCTTTGGCTTTTGAACTTTTTGTCGTCTTGGACATTGTTGCAATGAGTCGAGTCCAAAAGCGGGCTCTCATCAGATATTCAAAGGTGACGAATGGGTCCCCATCACTGCAGATCCGGTGTGTGTCGTCAATCTATTCGTATGTAACATTTAACAATAAAACAAGGTCGTCATCCTCCAAGACAGCCTTTTGCCCAATATCTATTATATACAAACACTCATCACTGCTCTTCCAGTTTCAAGTATTTGGCCGTGCGGCCTCTGCAGCAGCCGCAACAACCTCCCCCAATCTTTTTGCAGCAACCCCGGTTCGTTGTATTTCCACTTGCAAATCGATAGACATGGTTCGTATGTCTGGAGTTGTCATTTGTACTCCCGTCGCAACAGGAAGAGCGAGAAGATGGGTTTCTCTTGCACGATCCTGGAAATTGGCGATGATGCGTTTGAGGTTTTGAGCGTCTCCTACAATGTCCGATGGTTAGTCTGGCCTTTCCGGATGCGCGCATTTGGGTGTAAACTTACTCTGAGCAGCTAGGTATGGATAGGGATGGGTGAGTGCGTTCTGGCTATGGTAATAGCAAAGAGAGACAGGGTAAACATTACGATTCTGTAAACAAGATAAAGGAAAGAACGTTTGGCAATCTACTCCATGGCACTCACATTTTCCCAAAAAACTCTGTGTACGCATCTTTCAATTCATCATTCAGACTCAGCAAAACGTTCACATTTTCAATTTGTTCTTGCAGCGATCCTCTTGATGTGTCTATTTGTTGGCTAAATGTCGGCTCTTCTTCAACCACCACGATAGGCTGCTGGACTGGTTCTGGTGGTGGAAGTTCGGGGGGCAGTTGTGATGCATCTGGCAAGGTGTTGTATGGAAAGAAGTCGGTGTCAGGTATGCCCGTGAGATTCGGCGGTTGGTCAAAGGCTTCGAGTGGTGGAAATGCTTCAAAGTCTTCAAAAGAAAATGGATTGTCCATTAGAGGTTGAGACAAAAGTCAAAGCGTCGCGCGTCGGGATTTTGGGAAGAGCTTGTGACATAAACTTGCGCTGTTTTGTAGATCCCTCCAGCGGATCGCCTGTTTTTTCCCCTTTGTTCTGGATAATTCACATTATGGCTCCCATATCGCCAGTTGGTAAGTTCAGCGGTCTTTTGTCCTTCAAGTTTGAGCTGACAAGTGTTCTTTGGCAGTCATGCCCCTGGAGCTCGTGGTCGACCGATACTATTTGGCAGCGGTGATGAAGGGTACAGTAACAAGTGCCGCACAGGACTATACATTGCAAAGGAATATGCTTACCGGACTCGAATAGCTCTCCTTCACTCTATACTCTTTCATAGACGCTTCACTTCAGAACGGCCCATGGAAATTGACCTCGATGCACTGAACGTCACCTATGTAGGTCGCCAATAAAGGTGTCTAGGCACATGTGGCAACCATAACCTGACCAATGTTAATACAGGCCCGTCTAGAAGATCCCGAACTGGAACGAGCCGTTGATGAAAAGGTCCGAATGTTTGATAAAGCGTTGGAGCCTCTTTCTGGACGAAATAAAGGACAGGTGAGGGCTCTTGCTTGAAAGGTAGGCGAATGGAGGTCTGAGAATCAAGAGTCAGTAATTCATGTTTTTTTTTAAATAGATTGCTGTCATGTTTTTTGAACGACGGGCTAAAAAGTCATGGTTTACGAAAACCGAAGAAGAAGTTTGTTGGGAGGTTGGTCAAAGGCTGTGCAGAGTGCATATAAAATTCAAGTATTTATGGCATCTCATTTTTCTTAGCAATGGGTCATTACCATAACCATACGAGAATCCCGAACTGAGCGTGAACATATCGATGCACGTCGGGCACTCCAAAAAGATCTTGTGACAGCATTGACCAGCATCTCCCAGATGACAAACGAGCAAAAAGATCACATTCCGCCGATCGTCAACAATGATCCATTCCCATTTCAGGTATGTATGGCTTCCTTTTGGACGATATGAATGAGACGCTGATCTATCGCTCGTAGATTGTGATATCGTCCAATTCAGATGGTTCGTGGACATCCATGTTTAAGCAGATGATAACGTCGGGTGGCCCATGGCTTTCCGCAACATGATGACAGACATGTCGGAAGCAGAAAACCTCCCAAAGGCATAGCCTTTGGACGTTTGAACATGTAATATTGATGTATATATTCTTCCATAAATAATGATTCTATCTAGTTAACTGTCATCTGGCCCGAATATTCCCCAATTGTCTGTCGCAGATTTATCTACACTACTTCTGGGTCCCCAGCGTCTTCATTCTCCATGTCCAACGACACCTCCCAAAACCTCTCTTCGACACCCATCTTTCCAACATCAAAAACATGTGCACTAGTATTGTTGAACACGTCCCCAGTCAAGAAAGGATGCGGGAAGGGTAACTCCTCCAGGACCTGCAAGGACCTGCAGAGAAACGGCGCTTTTCGTTCCAGTGCGGACGAAAGTTGTATCATTGAGTACGCCTCAAAGCTATTTCCGATGATCATGAGTCGGGAGAGTTTGGCTTGTGTCCAATTGGATCGGAGAACATTGCTGTAGAGGGTATGGCCACAGTGGGGCATGAAGAAGACAGTGGGGTTTTTTATTGGTCGGAGACCGCGCTTTTGGTTGGCGGATGATGTGGTCAATATGATTTGAGTGTGATTTCACAACGAAAATAAGGTCGTGTTCAACAACTGAATGAATAACCATACCTCATTCCGTTCAATAACGGTAAATCCCAACAACTTTACAACTTGCTTGTCCAACTCTGTCATCACTGGATCGAATATATGCAAGCTTCCCTCAAGCTACTTTGCGCATTGAAATGTAAGCATCAACAGCACTTTACAACATCAAGTTACTTGAATCGACATTCAGGCCTCTCTTGTCGAGTCTTTTACCTCAAACACGTCCCGGAGAAGTAACAAGAGCATAAGCTGGTATTGGGAGGTGGCTGACCGAACCGGTGATCCGACACCATAACACACGCAGTCTACGTTTCGCGGTCGAATGGATGAGCCAGAAGATAGAGTATTGATGGGTTGCAAAAGCGCCTCTGAAAGACATGACTACTTTAGAACGTACATCGATGATGGTGACAATGTTGGAAAGAATATAAACCCACCGCAAAGCTTGGTATAGAACTTGCTCTTCTTTATAGCCTCCCTATCAATTTGGAACCCGATATCGATAAGTTCTCCTGTCTGAACTTGACAAGGCCCACACGAACCTCTTTGTTTCCAAATCACCCATTACACTCGAAACTGAAGGTTCTGGCTTTCTTGTAATGGCATGCCGCTGCTTTTGACGTCTGTAAGCAAAACCGGAAGGAGAGGGTGACAAATGTGGTTGCTTGTGAGATGTGTGAGGATGGTTTGGGCGGCTCGCTTTTTTTCGATGGCTGACCAGGGTAAACCCGTCGTCCTCCATGTCCGATAACCGTCTGCTTGCCCGTAATGCTCTTTCTTGGACTCGCCGCGCTCTAATATCCCCCCCTACTCTTGATGCTCGTTTTTCTTTTAGAAATCTCTTTAAATTTCGTTGGAGTTGCCAAAAAACAAAACGTGCTGAATGAGTCATCCAGACTCCGATGATCTTGCCGGCGGATCTTTTGCCGTTCGCGCTTTCGTCGTCTCTCCAAACGCCCTTCAAATCGATTTCGCTTTTCCATTCATACCTTTTTTCTTACTGGAAACCACTCCCCATGATAGTGGCAGCACCAGGCTTACGGGGTCTTTCCCAAGCCATCTCCTCCGGGACCAGCGCGCTCCGGGACGGCATATCGTTCTTTCGACAACTCCCCAGTGTGCTCTACCAAGCCCACAAAGAGCGACATGCAACGACAGGAAACCCTGCACTTGGAAACCGAAACCCATGGCCGCGACAGGATCTGATTCCATATGAGGGAACATACCCGCGTGGATGGAAAGCTGGGGGATGGGCAACTGGGGTCAAACGCAAAGAAGGGTTGAAGGACTTGACGCTCATTGTGTCGCCCCAACATGCATGTACGGCTTCAGCAGTTTTCACCACAAACAGCTTTGCTGCTGCCCCTGTGCAAGTGTCCCGTGAGATTGTATCTTCCCGTGGATCTGCGGACAAGGGCAGCATTAAAGCCCTTGTTGTCAACTCTGGCTGTGCGAACGCATGTACAGGTGACCAAGGACTGAAAGACGCATGGGAAATGTCACGGGCAGTGGATAAAGTGGTCGGGATAACCGGAAACGATTCCAAGGCTGGCACAGTTGTCATGTCCACCGGTGTTATTGGCCAACATCTTCAAATGGATCGGATCCTGGCTGGAATTACAGACTTGTCCCAGCACGTCGAGGACACGCACAATGCATGGTTGGGTGCTGCGGAAGGTATCATGACGACCGACACATTCCCAAAACTCCGTAGTCAGGAATTCACAACCAAAGGTGGATCTTACCGCATGGCTGGATGGTCGAAAGGCGCTGGAATGAGTGCGTTACATTATTGCTCTCCTATTTCTCTTGCGTACCACAATAACGCATCTCATTTCTCTAGTTCACCCCAACATGGCCACAATGCTCAGCGCCATCTTCACTGACGTTAAAATCAGCAAACCCTGCCTAGACTCTGCCACCAAATACGCCGCCGATCGGTCTTTCAACGCCATCAGTATCGATGGCGATACGAGCACGAACGATACCTTTACCGTCCTAGCGAATGGCGCATCTGGTGTCGTGATTGATAAACTGGATTCAAAAGAGTTTGTAGAGTTTAGGGATAACTTGACTGCGTTTGCTGCTGAACTGGCAAAGTTGATTGTGCGAGACGGTGAAGGAGCGACAAAGTTTGTTGAAATTCAAGTCAAGGTAAGGGTTTCTTATACCCGCGCACCTTATACTAAAAGACTAACTCGACAACCGAAACAGTCTGCCCGGAGCTTTGCAGAAGCTAAAACCATTGCCTCAACCATTGCCACTTCCCCGCTCGTCAAAACCGCCATCTACGGTAAAGATGCAAATTGGGGCCGCATTGTGTGTGCTGTCGGGTACAGCGGTATCCCCATCACACCAAATAAAGTCAACTTGTATGTTGGGTCCCCCACATCCGATTTCCTCCATTTGTTCAAAGACGGGGCGCCATTTGATGTTGATGAAGAAAAGGCGGCGGCGATCTTGGAAAACGAGGATATTATTGTCAGGATTGAACTTGGGTTGGGATCCGAAGAAGCCAAAATGTACACTTGTGATTTTAGTCATGGATATATTAGTATTAATGCGGATTACCGGAGTTAAATTGCGATAATATGAATATGCATGCAGGGTGAGGGTAGACTTGAACTACCCACATATGTACAAAAGTGCTATATACGGTGTGTAAAAACAGGTATCATTTCCTGCCTCGGCCTCGGCCTCTCTTTGAGACCGTCTTCTTCCCTCTTTTACTCTCCACCTTTCTCCTCTTCCCACCTCCTTCCTTCCATCCCTCCACTACCTCTCTAACACGCTCACTAGCATGGACGTTGGTACTCGTCACCGAGAAAAACTTGTCCAAACGCGCTTGTCGATTCTTTGCATTCAAATTTCGATCCATTTCCTTGATGAGTGGTATCATAATGTGATCAACTTGATGCTGCTTCCAATCCAGTTTGTCTTCCATGAAATCTCGAAGGGCATTCAAGTCGGGCCGGCCCCAGGTAAAGGCCGTAGGGTTAGTATCGAGTTGTGGATGAAAGTAGGCGTCCAGAACTCGAGGGTCTGGAAATGACGACGGGATGGCAAGCTTTTGGCAGTGTTTGCGCTAAAAATTAATGTAAAGATGTTAACTGAAGAACTGCTCGCAAATGGTATAGGTTACTTACCAGTCTTCTCAGAATCGGTTCCTCATCCACATCAGTTTCGCCTCTCAAAACGCGTTCCCACCACTCCCGAAACCCTTGGAGTGGCTCCAGCCCTTCCCCTCGCCACATTGTTAATATTTCCATGGCACTCGTAGGTCCAATTCCTTCAATTCCTTCCGTATAGTCACTTCCCAACAGATAGGCCAGCTGAACCAACTTTTCTCTAGTCAAAAGCATGGTCTCTTCCAGGCGGTCCATGGTATACTCCTCCACGTATTTTTGCTGATTAAACATGTTCTTGTAAATCATCGTGCCGCCAAAGAGGAACACGTCAGAGTCATCAGTCACGATGCCGTCTACAAGGGAGTTTTGAACCAGCCAGGCGCATTGAGACTCAGCCTCCATTGGAGCAGCGATATAAGGAAGACCAAAAATGCGAAGAAGCTCCTGAATTTCCCTAATGAGCTGAGTTTCAATATCAACTGCACTAGCCTCTTCTTTTCGTTTCTGCTTGTTCAGGCTGATCATTTCGCTTTCTAGCCGTCGTGCAACGTCATCAGGTGTTTGGTTTGATAGAGAAGACACGAAACGAGTATATTCTTCGTTTTCTTCGTTGAGTTCAGTTGGAACGTCAATGCCCACCTCTTCATCTTCATTGTTCAAGTAAACGTCGTCTTCAAAAAGATCAGATCCATCATTCAGATCGATTGTGGCTTGCGCTGCGGTGGGACCAGGTTGGATGGCAGGGTTGACAGATGCAGTTTCTGTCGGCGTGGTTGAATAAGCTGATACCCTTGAGGGCTCTTCTTCGCTAGGCGGTGTATTCACGTGCTCGACAATAGGCTTGGTATGAGGTGGGGTGACGGGTGCCGTTCCATCTGCCTCCTTTGTCGCAGCCAAGAGCCCGGACGTAACCTCCGTCATCTCAACTTCTGCTTCCATAATTCCTTCCACTATATCCGGCCTTTTATGCTTCTTTATCGCAGGTGAATGAAACTCCTCGTCCTCTGAATCCGACGCAAAGCCGAGAACATCTGCACTGGACCTTTTCGGGCTTTGGATGACATTGGCCACATTACTGGTCAAAGTACGCTTCATCGGCGACGTTCTAGCCAGAAACCCGATTCGATCTGTAATGATCGGCTCGGGGGATCGAGGTGGTAGCAGTTTCGAGAAATCTATGGGCACTTGAATGTCCGTCGTTGACGCTCGATCATCTGGTCGAGGGTGATCTGGATCAGCCACTATCACCGATTTCTCCGCGATTGGCGAAAGATGGTCTGAACCGGCTGCTTCAGCTGGTGCCACCGTAACAGTCTCATTCTTCGAGCTCCGCTCCTCCCGCCAAATCAGTGTATACTCCAAAATTTTTGTCCACAACTCATGCGCCTGCGCAGAGATACTTCCCTCAACTGCTTTATCATGTCGCTTCTTCACATGGGTCAGCTCTTCCTGTACTTCCTCTTCGGACCATCCATATACTGCTAAACGGAGCATGTTTTCGTGGTCCGGATATACCGATGTGAAGGCATCGGATAGAATATCCTGCCAAGCGTTGTAGGCTTCGTCTGGTGTTATTGCGCCTGTCAAAACTTTGAGGACTGCGTCGTTCAGGCGAGTATTTGAAGCGTCCCGGTGTTGCGCGGCCTCATTCATTTCAAGCTCGCCATATGTCAAAAGTTTTTGTTCTTCAACGCTGGTTTCTGGATAGGTAACCTGGCCGTCTTCAAGTGGGTCAGGGGTGTTCCGTAAGGGTGAACGAGCCCACCCATCTACATTCTCGTCTTCGACCCTCAGCTGGCGGGCTTCATCCTCAACTACAAATGCACCCTCCTGTTCATCGTCATTGCCCGATTTCGTCCATGAATGTTTCTCTTCTAGCTGCAGCGTAGTAACCTCTTTCTCCACTTCTGTACTCCACCCAAGCGCAACATCCTTTCCCCACGCATTAGATTTGTTCTCTTCCCATGTATTCTCACCAGTCCAACCAGGATCCATTGCTGGTTGAGCGTCCCACCCACCTTCAGTGGCTACCTCCCTTCTGCCAACATAGGATTCAGGTTGAAAACCAGAGTCAGGCCAGGCAGGCACTGGAGATGAACGGTGCCCACCCCACCCAGGCTGTGGTGGTACGTCCTCGTACATGTCGGTAGAAGGTCCATCTTCTGTTGGGCCCTCCGGTGGTCCTGTGGCGAAATACTCCATTATTTTTTCAATTGGGAGGTTGTCTGGAAGGTATGCCTGAAAATTGGCAAGGAGAGACTTGTCCTGGTCCTTTTCGTGACTTGTCATATCCACATTAGTATCCTGCTCCATTCCCGATACTGCGGATGCCGTATAAGGTGGGGTTGGAATGTCTGATGCATCACCGGGCTATGTCAGGTCATCGAATTAAACTTTTACGCAATACACTAGTTCACCTGTTATCTCCTCAAATTCTTCATCATCGTCGCTG